GTTTTACTTTTAGTAAATCAACATACTTTTCATTATCACACCCCTATAATACTGGTGGTGAAACTACTTTCAGACAATCTTATGAATTCACTTATTATTAAAGCCATCTCAACTTTCTTAATAAACTCCTTCTATGTGCATCCCATTCTGCATTATATTAAAAACATTAAAATAAATTAAAATGGAAACTTCAACTTTAATTAATCATGGATATTTCATACAGATGTTAACATATTGACAAGCACACTGGAGCTATATGCTGAGTAATATTTGTGTGTTTGTCAGTGTGTTGTTATACTGATATAACCCAGTGAGTGACAAAATTAACTTTAGGCACCATCCACAAAATAGTTCTGTTTATAGTCTGCTATTTTCCACAGTTAATGCTGACAACAATTTGTGATGGAAATCTAGAGGTACCAGTAATGTTTGTTAGGTCCAAAACTAGAATTGAATTCAGTGAAAATTACAAAAAATGTGAATAAATTTATTCCATTTTGACTGGAAAAAAAAAGGCACTCAAAACGTTAACTTTTCATTTTTTTTTATCATAGGACTTTGGATTCCCTCAGAATACATCGACTGATACACTGAAAGCCTATATTCACAATGATCCTATATTAATAAAAGGAGAAAGACAACCTGGAGAGGTGGCTTCTGGATTGGTAAGTATTAGTCTATGCGTAAAAAAACTAAAAATAATTCACAATTATTGCAAAAATTGTTTTTTTACATCTGACAAAGGAGGTCATGTTTTCGTTGGCATTCGTACGTGTTGATTATATTTTGGAAGAGATCTGGATCTGGTTGCCATCATGGAAACAAAAATTTTTGAAATGATTGTGGACAAATTTTCATTACATTATTTAAGGGGGGGGGGGTTGAGCTTTAAATGACATTTACAATAGGGTATAGGTATTAGTAAGGATAATTATTTTACAGCTGTGGTAGAGGCTTGCAGATTGACTTTTTAGCTTCCAAATGGCTGGCTGGTGGCCATTTTGTTTTTTGAAATCTGTTCTAATACCATATCCACAACATGCTTGGAGTGATTTCATGTGTACAACACTCGTTTTGAGATACATACCGGTACAATAATTTGTCCCATGTTTCAAGATGGGCAACTGGCAGCCATTTTAGTGCCACAAATCAAAATCCTGTAGTTCTTAGGTGTTTACATGGATGAACATTCTGTTTTAACAGGACACATAAGCATGGGTATTTTAATTGATCCTTTCACCCTTCACTCAGGAATGTTTAGATAATAAATGATGTGTCCATATTATCAATCAGTTTCAAATTAATACCTGCATTTCATTATATAAATCAAATTATTGTAAAGGAAATAAAGTCCTGTAATCCTATTTCAAACTTTAAATTGTGAATTTATCATTAAAGGGGGAATGTGAATATCTTTGTCTTTTTTATTATAACCTAATCTTAGGCTAGCATCTGAGGCTACACTCATGGACTGAAAAAGCAGCCAGGAAGACTTGTTTGTTCATAACTTCAGTATATGTTTATACCAAAGTGTGTAACTAACATTTGTGATTTGATGTGTTCATTTAGTTTGGTGCTGATCACCGTGTTGCTCCCAGCAGTGCAGCTAACAAACCCATCTCAGCGTCCCGGCAACTACAGGTTGGTTTTCAGCTCAGTAATATTCTCTATACACTCCAGGAATTAAAAAAAAAAAAGAGCAAATTGACAAACAAAATGTGGAATGTTCCATTAATTGCTGTATGTTTCGTATAATTGCTTGTTACCTCATTCTCTCTTCTTTTTTTTAACAGTCAACCCACAAGAATGAGATATTTGTTGATGTTATTGAACGACTGACTGTTCTGATAGCGAGCAATGTAAGTGACCATTGTATTGTTATTTATCAATTTATTAGTACCTTGTTTGCTAAGTTAAATTATTATTATTATTTACTATTATATATACATATATACTATAATAAGTATACTTATCAGGAGTGTTCAGTGCAGTTATCAATATAATAATGACACATGGGTATTGTAATTTTGTGTATTGTTTTATAATTGTAGGGAAATGTGATTCGCAGTGAAATCGATGGACTTATGCAAATGAAAAGTTTTCTTATCGGTTCACCTGGTAGGTAAATTCCCAAACAATATAATATTTTGTGTCAGTTTAAATCATTGCAGTCACTGTTTGCTGTTTCTTTCCTCCATAACAACAAACAAACCATTGCATAATTGTTAGCAGAGAAGAATCTGTGAAGACACAAGATTTCTAACGTCTGAATCAGACACAGTAAATTACGAGTACCTTTTAATTATTCCTACATTATATTTAGAAATTCAGCTTGGTTTGAACGAGGATATCCACATCAGAGCAGGTGTTAGCAATATTGGTTGTAATAATCAGGTCACACTGGAGGATATCAATTTCCATCAAAGTGTCAAATTAAATGAATTTGATAATAATAAAATTTTAAAAGTCAACCCACCAGAAGGCGAGGTAAGTCTTGGTTTTTACTATTTCCACATAGACCTAGAAACAAGAAACCCCAATATGGTGTCTTGCATGTGATGTAATGTATCCCTATGTGGTAATATGCTGTTTGCATGTGATATGGTGTTCTTATGCGATGATACACTGCCATACTGCCATTTTGAACAACGCTCTTGTCCATAGAACACTACCCACAATTGATGACTATTAAAGAACTGTTTTCTATGCAATTCTGTGTAACTGTCTTCAGTGTCTCTCGAATTCAGTACATGAAAACACAATGCATTCATTAAGTTAAAAGATGTATACATATAAATAGGATATATGCATATATGGGGATGGCTGATAACTCAGCTATACTATAAATATATTGTGATTTATTCTTTTGTTTTTTTGCTCAGTTTACCGTATTGAGTTATCACATGTCAGGGGATTTCCCAAGTTCATTGCCATTTGTGATATATCCATATATTGAAGAAATACCAGATAAAGGGTAAGACAGCCGTGATGATGAACTTACTGCACTCAGTCAAATTCCCAGCTGTATCTCCCCTTTTCAAACAATTTAAGGAGGATCAGTTGTGTTGGTTTTGATCTTTTTTATTGCCATTTCCCGGCAAATTAATAGAAACAACAAGGTGACATGTATTTCTACAATTATCACAGTTGTACTATAATCATCATTGTCATTTTCTACATTTTGTTTCAGTCAGTTTATAATCCAGCTAAAGTTGGAGTGTGACATTCCATCCAAAGACCATG